GTTGTGCTAAATGTCCTCATTTTGGGGGAGAGATGTTTGAATATTTGTTTATGGGCATGAGGCCACTTCCTTGTTTTCCTCAATACTCCTATAAATCTTATTGGCAACAAATAAGAGAAACAATGAGAGAAACAGACATATACACATACACACATAGTGAGAGGAGATGGATATTCACACACAGAAAGAGATAGACCAGAGATGCAGGAGTCTTCAAACAGAGCAAAACAAAACAAAAATCTCATATCCATCATGGTGTCCCAGAAGGTGGATTAGACTGGATCTATAGAAAACATGGTGTCCCAGAAGGTGGATTAGACCGGATCTATAGAAAACATAGCTTTACTATTTAACTGTAATCTTCAGGAATTCACTGAACAACCCTGGCCTCAGTTTTCATCTGTAAAATGAAGAGTGCCAAATGAGATTATTGCTGAGGTCCCTTCCAGATTTGTGGATCACGTTTTAGAGAGGTTTTTCTACCATACAGTTCATAAAGCTGGTAAAAGGAGAAGATCAGATGTGAACAATGGTTACCAAGTCGCAGTGGTTGTTAAGGAAGCCACTGGAATCAAATTACTTAGGCTCAAATCCCATTTCTGCCGCATACTATATCGGAGACTTCGAGCAAGTTATTTAGCCTCTGTACCTCACTTTTCTAGTCTGTAAGATGGGGATGTGATGGTGGTTGTAGCATCTGTCATCTAAGGTTGTTGTGGGGATTGAATTAATTCATGGTAGGTACTTGGAACACTGCCTGGAACACATTAATGTTTATCTTTTTTGTTTTGTTTTTATTTAGCTCGATTAATATCTTTTTTGTTAAAACTATTCCTGCTTGAATTCTTCTTGGAAAACTCTGCTATAAAACTCTGAGGTGGTGGTGATTAACATTGATAGGCTCAATTATATCATTATTCATTTCTGCACTAAACATAAATCCAGAAAATTTGGCATTCTAGAATCTGCTGTGAATAGAGTATGTTTGAATAGAGTACTGAAAGTATTTTAAATGTCGACATTAATTAGCTTCATTACAGAACTGGTTTCTTGAGGCCTACTTCAAAGTCTGTATTGACTATCGATACACAATCATCTCGATCCCTTAGCACTGTTGCAATTTCTTTCTAAGTGTATTATTCATATTACATTTCAGGGTCGTGAAATTTATAATCTTCAAAACTGTTTTGAGACCATTTTGTTTTATATAATACTATCTATAGTGTGGCTTGAAAAAACAAACTGATAGCAATAAGACAAAGCAAGGCATTCTGAGAAGTGTATAGCACTCTCCTAGTAATGGGAAGGCTCAGATCTAGTTGCTCTAAGAGTCTGTAAAGTAGTAAATGGTTAACATGTTGTATTCATTTGCTTAGACTACCATAACAAGGCAGACCGGATGGCTTGAACAACAGAAATTTATTTTCTCGAAATCCTGTAGGCTAGAAATTGGAAATGTGTCAGCAGGATTGGTTTCTTCTGAGGCCTCTCTCTTATACTCGTAGATGACCCTCTTTCACATGGTCTTTCCCTGTCCCTTGTTTGTATCCAGGTTTCCCCTCTTATAAGGCTACCAGCCATAGTAGATTAGGGCCTACCCTAATAACCGCATTTTAACTTAATTCCCTCTTTAAAGACCCTGTCTCCAAATGCATTATATTCTGAGGTGTTGGGGATCAAGACTTGAATATATGAATGGGGGCAGGCATCCAATTTAGCCCAAACAGTTTTGTGGTTTGTTTGTTTGTTTGTTTGTTTGTTTTTCCGAGAGAGAGCGAGCAGGGGGTGGGAGCGAAGGGAAAGGGAGAATCTTAAGCAGGCTCACACTCTGCGTGGAGCCCAATGCAGGGCTTGATCTCACAACCCTGAGATCATGACTTGTGCGGAAATCAAGAGTTGGAACTTAACTGACTGAGGCACCCAGACACCCCTAGTCCAAACACTTATTAAAACACATAGACACGTAAGGATCCAAATAGTCCAGTAATATCTTTTATCTTCAACTGAAAGATTTATTTGACATTTGTAGTAAAGCTTATATTGCTTAGTATTGTAGAATTCAATAAAATGATATTTGTTTTTATACCTTTGTTTTAGAACCTTTGTAAATAATAATAGCAAAAACAACTCTCTTTAGTAAACATACAAAAGATCTGCTTTCTTGGTCAGAAAATTATTTTCTGATAGTATTTTGACATGTTTTTCTTCCCTAGACTAATCCTAAAATGCCAAAAGCAGAATGAGAAATACAGTTTGGAATGTTGTCACTCTCTTACCCCCAAATGCATAAATAACCCTTCCGAAAAACTAGAAGTGCCAGAGGATGGGGAAACAAATCTTTTTGAGATAGTCGAGGTAATGTGTCAACGCCTTCCACCCCCAGATAGTAGGTTGCTTTGGATACATTTTTAAAAATAGCAGTGCATTTTTGTCCATATTTAGATTTAGTATTTATAAATATGACATGTTTATTTTATTTTTTAAGTTTCATATATTCTGGATTTTTAAGAAAGTACATTATCTAGTGGAAAGCTCTCAAAAACACCCATTTTGTATGTCAGTGTTGACTCTGAATTTTAAGAATTAATTGGCCTCCTATATGTTGCCTTAGCTGATATGTATGTGAAAATCCTCACATAGTGGGAGCAAATTTGCTTTCTGTTTTATTGCTAATACTAAAAACTTACTAAATGGCCTGAATCCCAGTCAGTTGCAGCCCAAGTATAAGTTTTTTTAAATTTGATGTCTCAGTATATATTAAAGAAGTGATTTTTATGCAGTTTGCAAGTGTGATTTTCTGGGCAAAACAACTGATTTGTTTTTTATACTAGCCAAGTTGACTTAAAAAAGAAAAAAAAAAAAAACAAACCCAGATCTGTGTAGATTTTTTTAAGGTGTTTCTATGTCCAGAAGTACCTAAGACTTACCAAAAATGTGCTTTCCCTCTTTCATGCCCCATACTACCCACTATTTAGAAGTCAAGCCTACTGTTCCACATAAAGACATACACACACCCAGATACTAGATATACAAACATGTACTTGCACTCCACCCTGCCCTGCCCTCCTGCTTACATAGCTATAGAAACCTAGGGTGTTTCTTTTTCTGCCAACCAGTGTCTCTGTGATTAAAAAAAGGCAGCAACTCCTGCTCTCCTGTAGAATTAATTCAGATTTCTAGAGCAAAACCTGGGGCTTCGTCAAGAACGAAAAGGAGCAACCAGAACCAGAACGAATGGAGCTTGGGTATTATCCAGAGAAGGGAAAATGTCAGAATAAAATGAACAGAACCCAAGCCACAGCAACATACCTCCATGGCAAAATCAGCACTGCCACTGAGGAGGGTCAGGGAGGGGTGAGGGCATCCTTCTTGGTAGCCTCCACTCTTGTGACTGTTGGCACATAAAAGTTTGTGTCAAAGACTCACACACTCCTGACTGTTGGTCCTGGCTTGATGGAAAGTAGCCTGTGAATAGACCAAATGGTGTGCTGGGCAAACTGGTGTTTAAAATTATTTATTGATAGCCTAAAAATAAGTTTCATACCTATCCCATAAATAGGTTTATTTTACCCCAGGTAGCAAAATATGTATAATTTATCTTTTTTTTTTTTTTTAAGATTTTATTTATTTGACACAGAGAAAGATCACAATTAGGCAGAGAGGCAGGCAGAGAGAGAGGAAGGGAAGCAGGCTCCCTCCCTGCTGAGCAGAGAGCCCAGTGCGGGACTCAACCCCAGGATTCTGAGATCATGACCTAAGCTGAAGGCAGAGGCTTAACCCACTGAGCCACCCAGGCGCCCTGTCTCTTTTCTTATAGACATTTATTTTTTAATTGAGAAAACTATAAAGCTTACTATAGCCACAGTTAGCTGTGCCACAGTGTATAATAATGTATTCAGACAACTTGTCTACGAGTGGTTTTTATTTCAGATTTATAGACTGTGGCATGCCTTGAACAGGCATATCTGCCTCTAAACTCTAAGGAAAGTTGTGTCTTGGAGACTTTCAAATGGAAGGAATGAACTGAGCATCTGGTTGAAATGATCTTGTCTTTCAATGTTACTTAATGGATCATGACAGTGACAAGTAACAGCTCATTCAGAAAGCAAGTGGAGAACGAGTCTGTAGATGACGACGTGCCAGAAATCTGGCACTCTTACTTCTGACAATTAATATGGAATTAGCAACAGCCTTTTTCCAAATATCTTGGGCCACATCACTTATATATTAGGCAAGAATGGGAGTCAAGTTTAAGAGTTGGTGTCTTAAAGTATAGGACAAAAGTTGTGTTTCCTCATAAAATTTAAAGTCTTATCATTTTTTAAAAAGTTTGCAGGGTCTGATATACTGTTAGGAAAATATAAACACAGAATTTGCATGTAATTCAACACTTAACGTTTGGGAAAAAATGGGGAAAAGTTGGAGCTAGGTGAGGAATTAGCCTTACAGACAAAGTCCAGATGGTGACAGGTTGATTTGTCTGTTCATTGCCTGGCAGAAGGTGAGGGTATAAAGGCGTACCTTACAAAATTTAGCAGTTTGAAAAGTTCAGTTGTAATTATGTAATTTTTCCATCCGAGTGTATTGTGCATTAGTCATGGTGATTTAAGCAAATAGGCTTTTGTCAATTCAGGGAGACAAAGTCATTTCTCTTCTAGGGCATTCATAAGTTAGTCCTTAAAATGGCAGTGCACATCTTAAAGTAAAAAAGGTTTTGAAAGCCCTCACCTTCCCTAACTGTAATTGCAAAAAGGAAGTCAGATGCATGGTATTTTTTTTTAATTTTTCTTTTTCATAAACATATAATATCTTTTTATCCCCAGGGGGTATTTTTGTTTTATTACTCAGCTTCGACTTGAAGAAGTGGCTGTTTTCTTTCTTGTCTGTGTCAACCCACACCTCTCAGGCCTTATCAGTTGTAATGATAGTTGACATTCATGGGGTTTATCCAATCATTTATGGTATAGTAACATAGAAATAAATTTCTTATTATTTTGCAGCATCGGACACTCTTCCACCATGCTGATGGTATTTTAAATATATTTGCCGATTTTCCCAAATTTTAACTGAAGAAGACCTTAAGAATTTATCCTCGAGGCGGAAAGTGTAACTGCCACTTATCAGGTCAGTATCATCCCCACCCCTCACCTTTACCCCCACTCCCAGGAATATCGCTATTCCCCTAAAACATGCTGTGGTTTTATGGTCTTTCGTTTATATTAAATTTATTGCAAATTTAAGATTGGATTCAAATATGAAGAACAGCAAAGAACTGCTGATTTTTAGTATTTCCAAAGAAAGGTTATAAGAGTATGTGAAAACAGACCTATTGGTTTTTCAGTTACAGAGCTGTGACCCCTTTTTTCCTCCTGTGTCATATTTGTATTGTATTTACCTTATGTAGACACTCAGCTGGACGAGTGGGTACATATTAGCAGATTGTTCCAGATACTAAGATTTGTGTGGCGAAGTGATTTACAAATGCAGATAACAAGATTATAGTGCTTTATGCCATTGACAAAGATTGGAATTTTTTCTTGCCTAGGCTGAATAGTTAAGTGACTCTGAAGATTGTTTCAATTTTCCTCTTTTATGAGGACGTATATTTATCACAACAGATCCAAGACTTTGATTTAGGTACTGTTTTAGTTTATTGTATATTCACTTTATTCTTATTTCACTGCATTCTCTAACAATTAGTTCTGGATTTTTACCCATGAAAGTTTGGAATGGAAACCAGAAGGACTTTAGAGATGATCTAGTCTGTCTGATTTTACCTGTGAGGAAACTCCGAGCCAGAGCAACTAGGTAACTTTTGTCCCCACGGCCATAGAGCTGCTCAGTGGCAGAGCCCAGACTGAAATTCTGCACACCTCGCTCCCGGTCTGTTAAGCTTTCCTCACCGGGCACTGCTTCCTTCAGCCCCAGTTTTAGATCTCTAAATAAGAGTTTTGAAGGACTACAAAGATACTGAAGGAAAAAAAGGAGAATACGTGTGAACACTACCATTATTATTTTGGTGTTTCTGCAACCTGTTCATTTCCTCAGGGTAGCTGGTGTTTACAGAGTACTTTTCCAAGTGCCTATTATTCTGCTTAACATCATGGGAGGGAAGGGAATGGGCATAAAATGATGGGATTTTTCCTCTGCTTTTTAATCTCTGCGAGATTGAACCATGAAACCGTCAGGAAGAGGGGGAAGGGTTTCATCCACGAAACCAGTGTGACTCAACTGGTGGCTTAAATTCCTCACTGTTCTTCACTCCAGGATGCTATCACCCCTCTCCACTTGTGTTTCCAAACCACAAAAGGGCAGCTTGAAGGTATTTCTGAGGTCATTGATCTTGGCTGCCCCCAATTTTGATAATGCCTTTCTTAGAATTCTTGTGGAAAATGAGAGAGGATACTAGTTATTAATAATTAGACCATTGTTCAGCTTGTATCGGGAATTTGGCGAGATGTTTTACATTTATTAACCCGGTCTTCCCAGCAACCCTATGAGTTTGATACCATCATCCCTCTTTCACAGATAAGAAAACCGAGAATCAGAACACTTGCCCCAAATCACACAGCTAAGGTTATACAGACCTGGCATCTATCTGACTGCAAAGCTCTTTCCAGCATCCCATCTTAAATTAAGTGTGTGGCTTTATTAGATTTATGTGGTTGTGTGTTTGTTTTTTTAGTTATGTTTAAAATACCTGATGTGAGAGGTCTTCTCTAATCTCAAAGTGAGGACCACTTAACCAGCTGCTAAAACTCGGGTAGTTAGAAAGTTAACAGTTAAAACTGAAGTTAGATGGAACATATTTTGCCATGTGGCGAAAGATTCGTACGGCATGTCTTGGAACACAATCTAACAACAGTGAAGTAGGCCTTCCCTACATGCTCTCCCTCACTGAGAGGCGGTAGCTCTGGAAGGAATCAATGACTCTTTTGTCTGCCTCCTAAAATTTCATGTGCTCATAAGAGTTGGGAATTACTGGAGGGTGTGTGAACTAGTCATGTTGTAATTCACTTTAAAGGAAACTATATGAGAGTGACAATTTGGAAGTAAAAAGAGGGAAAAGGAAAGTAGTATTTGCTCAGCCTCGGAAGTTACAAAATGTATCTCACCATACCCACTGGTCAGAAGACCCTTGGAAAATTGTGTAGCAGTCTAACTTCTGTCTCTTTGTGATTTTTGAGAAATTAATCTTATAGAAAGGATTGAGTCTGTGGTATACAGTTTGCCATTTAACATATTTCAGAAGATACAAGACTTCTTGGAAACATGACCTTGCTGAGTCAGATAAATTCAGTTTGTAGTAGTCTGTCCAGTTAAGATGTTTAATAAGGAGGGTATATTTTAAAAAATTATTTGAAAGTATATTTGTATGATGGTTGCATTGAAGTCTTATTTTACTATATGAAATATAAATACCATGGTAGGTGTTTTTCCTTTTAAACTCTATTTCAGAGAGAACACCTATCACGTGAAAGCAGATGGTTTAAAAACAATTGTCTCCCATACTGCCACCAGCCATTGTCTTTGCCCAGGTTTTGTTTCATCCAACTTCAGAGGGATGCCAGAATGTTTTATAAACAGTTTAGGAATTTGGTTCTCTAAAACTGGGAAGTCTTTTCATGATCTCATGATTTTCTGGTGAAATAGTGTTCATGGTAACAGAATTTTACCTGTGCTTCTAGTAACAAAACTCATGACTAACTCTTTCTGAGACCTCCCAGGATGTTCGTAAATATGCTTGGAGGAAAAATGATGAAAAATTGATCTTTTGAATAGTGATGAAATCCGTAATTAAGGTGAATTTTATTTTCCCTTACTGCTCAGTTTATGATTAACATCAGAGGCTCTTATTTCTTCTACTTAATTGTACTGTTTGCCATCTTAAACCATTTTTTACTGTAATTATTGTTCTTTTCTTGTCTGACTCACTTTATTTTTTTCTTTAGTAATATCAAACTCACTCTGTCTTCTGGAGCTTGTCTGATCGTTGTCTTTGTTTTAGGCTTTCAGGATGAATCTGGAAAAACTCAGCAAGCCTGAACTCCTAACGCTATTCAGTATTCTTGAAGGAGAGCTTGAAGCAAGGGACCTTGTGATAGAGGCTTTAAAGGTGTGTTAAACCAAAAAAAAAAAAAAAAAAAAAAGAGGTCATCGTATGTTTTGAAAGTCATTTTATGGGTTGAAATTTTTTTAACCTGTTTTAACCTATTTCTGTAGCCCCTGTTGAAGTTCAAGGTCTGGTTGTACATATTGATACTTGCTCTGGCAGCTACCTGTGTGGTGTGCTTTTAAGGATGCTGGTAAAGCCTTTCTGACCCCAAAATAGTTCTTTAGTCTCTCTACCTCATGTCTGGAACTTGAACTTCATTCTTTGGCTTAGAGGCCTTAACCATTTTTGAATGCCAGCTGCTTCAGAACGCAATGAGACTTGCTTCCTAAAAAATGTATATATGTCCATATACCAAAATTCAGGTTATAATATCTGGGTGATCAAGGACTCCATGAAGACCATCTCTGGATTCCCTAGACCCCAGATAAAGAATTCTTACTGTTGTTTTAGTATTTGATATCTGTTAAGACATAAGGGGGAGGGGGGAGGCAGGTATGACATATGTAGAAACTCTGCTTTCCACTCAGTTTTTCTGTGAGCCTAAAACTGCTCTCATAGGGGTGCCTGGGTGGCTCAGTCAGTCAAGCATCCAACTCTGGATCTCAGCTCAGATCTTGATCTCAGGGTCATGAGTTCAAGCCCCGCATTGGGCTCCATACTGGGCTTGGAACCTACTTAAAAATAATAAGTAAGGGGCGCTTGGGTGGCTCATTGGGTTGAGCCTCTGCCTTCCGCTCTGGTCGTGGTCTCAGGGTCCTGGGATCGAGTCCCACATTGGGCTCTCTGCTCAGCGGGAAGCCTGCTTCCTCCTCTCTGCCGACTTGTGATCTCTGTCAAATAAATAAACAAAATCTTTAAAAAAAAAAATAAGTAAAAAGACAAAAAATAAAACTGCTCTAAAAAAATAAAGTCTAATTTAATAAATATAAGGGGGTATACCTCCTTTCAAGTTTCATGAACCCTTTACACCGTTGTGAGGATGTTTCCCAATCTGTTCTGAGATCAGATTTGCAGATGCAGAGAAAAGACAGTAAAGGTATCTGTGTGAGCAGCAGGAGGAAGAGAGGGAGGAGAAATGGCCAAAGAAGAGAGACTCGAGCATGCTGGAGAGAGTAGCCCCTGCAGAGCGCTCACCCCAGACTAAGGATCTAAGAAGAGGTTTATAGTCTCAAATTTTAATTAGAGGTTAGATCCGTATACACCTTAAAACTCACTGGTAAAAAGTTTATGAAGTATTTTGGGTTTTTTTGTTTTGTTTTGTTTTCAAAATTATCTGCTTTTTAAAATATTGCATTAATATTTATTTCATGTGTGTTCATATGAGGCTCCATTGTTGAAGATTTTTTTTAAAAGATTTTATTTATTTATTTGACAGACAGAGATCACAAGTAGACAGAAAGGCAGGCAGGGCGGTGGGCAGGGGTTGGGGGGAAGCAGGCTCCCCAGTGAGCAGAGAGCCCGATGCATCCCAGGACCCTGAGACCAAGACCTGAGCCAAGGCAGAGGCTTAACCCACTGAGCCCCCCAGGCGCCCCATGAAGAATTTTTTTACAGCAACAAAGATAATTTTCTAGATAATTTCAAGGAAGCTTAGAGAATCAGTGATTTCCTAAGTAGCCAATAATAACCACTCAAAAGAGTTCATACAAAAAGCCTTTTTCCCTTCATGCACTGATACAGAGTAAATGTGTTGTTTGTTTGGTCATATCTGGGTAGTCTTTTCTTTGATTACTCTAAAATTATAATTGTGATAAAATTAAATCTAAGCCTATTATTTCTATGTGCTCTTAAAGTGACATGCTAATGTGTTTTTCAAGAATAACTGAAAAAGACTGACATTTCTGTCTAATGAGTATGCCTCAGGGTAGTTTATCACCGAAAACTATTGGTTTTTTTGTTTTGTTTTGTTTTCCCTGGTAGCTTTGTCGTATGTGATAAGTAATTTCCAGTGGTTTCGTTCTCCAGAGTGCATGAGGCAGTTCCCTTCTGCTATGTGGGGGGGCGGAGGTAGGGAGGGAGTCTGTTTTCTGTTCTTCCTTTCCCTGCTTGCTTCAGTCTTGGGTTTGCGCGGCTCCCTGGGGATCACGTTTATGGCTTTGACACATGCCGAGTCACATACGTTAAAGCTCATTGCCTGCGTCTTTGCCTCCCATACTGCTAATTAGAACTGTATGACTTTGGTCACATCATTCAATCTGTCTGGAGCACAGCTTCCTTTTCTGTAATAAGAATAAATGATTACTAACTAGTATTTGTGTGTAATATTGTAATTTGCCGGGCATTGCAGATCCTGCAACAGCATGGGAGCCATTTTTTACCCTTTATGTAGATTCTTTCAGTGCATACCACATTCCCCATATCCAAGGAACAGTCAGTGGTCGCTAATATTATGAATGGATGACTTTAGTGTGCCCTCAGTGGTGCCTAGTTTTTTAATGACTCCCCTGCCAACTTACATTGCATATAAATGTTCACTCTGGCTGGTGACTCATTTCTGCCGCTTCCACAGGCCTCCCCTTTTTGTCACTATTAGTGAATTTTCTTCCTTTCCCTGTACATCCCTGGAAACTATTCTGTTTCTCATAATCCCATCCCATTGTTACCAGTAGTCATAAACTGATTAAACCCAGGACACGCTCCCATTTCTTATCCCGTATTTTTCTGCTCAATGAAGAGAAGAGAGAAAAGGATTGGGGGAAGTTTGAGCTCGTTCCTAATTCTCATTTGTATTGCCTGTTGTTTTCTCATTTCTTCTCTTGGTTCTCATCTGAGAACCTGGCTCTCCTGCCCATAGGTGTTACCAGCTTAGAACCCGAAGAGTTCTCTGCCTAAGCTGCACTGGGAAGTGCTTGGCTCATACCAATGACTCCTTGTAAAACCCAGAAAGCATTTTCTAGGAGCATTATTATTATAAATAGCAATCAGATTTTAGAAAACTCCAGTAGTTTGGCAACATGTGTTAAAGACACTCAGCTAAAGATCTACCCCTGTCGGCACTGGGGCTCCGGAAGGCAGTTCCCCATATCAATATTACAGTTGACTTTTACAAAAACTTGTGGGCCTCAACCCCTTCACAATTGAGGTGGGATGGTGGGGGGATGGCTGGCTCGAATGGAAAAACTAAGCCAACCTTATTTTCTCTTTGCTTTTCAGCCTTAGAAACCAAATGTGTCTATTTTGCTAATCACTGTATCCTCTGCACCCAGCGTAGGGCTTACAGACAGACAGTAAAGACTTGTCAAACAGATGAAATGATCGTGCCATTGTGATGCGCTGCTTTAAAAGCCTGCCAGAGCGGCCCTGGGTGGCTCCGGCTCTCTGCTCAGCAGGAAGCCTGCTTCCCCCTCCCTCTCTGCCTGCCTCTCTGCCTACTTGTGATCTCTCTCTCTGTCAAATAAATAAATAAAATATTCAAAAATAAATAAATAACGGACTGCCATAAGATTTCAGAGTGGATGTTGTGAATTATTAAATTTTATAGCTTGTTCTTATGTGGCTGAACATACTGCCTTCTGGTTTTAATGTTAACAGATGCGTAGGTGCTTGTTGCACATGTTTTCCTAAAATACATTTTTTCTGCGCGAATCCAATTTTAGTTACTTTAGGCAGCTTCTGACAAGTTGAAAGAGCAGCTTGAGAAGCAGGAGCTATAATTAAGGGAGCATTTGGATATAAGATACCATTCAGAATGGGGCACAAGTGTTGTGTTTAGTCTGCATAGGGCTTGGAGGTGATAAAGTTGTCTTCTGAAGCTTAAGCTAGATGCAGTCTAGGTTGAAATGAATAGCTTCACCAGAAGTGAGACGTCTTTAAACAGTCTGTTGTTAGATAAAATCAGTAGCAGCTGGGGTCAAAACTGTTTCAGTCCTTTTGAGAAAAGCAACTGCCATACCAGATTCTTAAAGTTAAAATGAAATCTCTGTTTGTAGTTGTTTGTTTGTTTGTTTGTTTGGGCTTCTATAATATATAAAGATTTTACTGTTACTATTTCTATAATTCTTGCTTAGCAACAAGCACCTGTTGGGCTTCTTGGACTAATATGGCAGCTTACTAATTTTCTTACATTTAGTATTCTTTCTTAATTCATGTTTCGTGGGTTGAAAAGTTTTTGAAATAGATTGGTTTTTTTTCCTTCTGCTTAAGTAAAAAAGCTTATCTTTTTTCCCTCTTTACCTTCAAAATAGATTTTTTTCCTGGGCATAAAATCTATTCTTCAACCTTGCAACTTTGAACAAAACCATATGGTTCACAGTTGCTGCTAAATAAATAGTAGGTCACATTGGCAGGGCTTGGGTTTTTATAGGAATATATTTATTATAAAGGTCCCAGATTCTACATATAGAGCTATATTTATAAAAGAACTTCATTCATTTTCCAGAATTTCTGCAGAGTGCCAGATTGCAACTACACCCTTCTAGAAAAGCCCCCGCCATAGTTACTTTTCTCCCCAAAATCTAAAAGCCTCCTCGTTCTTCTGTTGCAGCCAAGGCGTGTTTGGCATGGAACCAGGAAAGTCGGTAGAAAATAGTGTAATATTCAGCTTCTCTGTATTTAAAAATCTAGTTGCTACAGAGGCCATTTATACTGTATTTGGTCCTAACTGAACTTTTATATAAAGTGATTTTCTGTTTTACAAGAGATTATGTCAGAGGGAAACATTCTTTGTGAAAGTCTTTCTCTTTCACCAGTTTATTTTCATGAATGAGTACACTATAGGAATCCCTTCCATAGTGAAAGCAAATTACAGTGCTCATGAACTAACTGTCCCGGGTTGCCTGGGCCGGCATCCCACAGTTCAGTAAGAGAGCTCATTAATTCTAAGCAGATCTAGGAGATGGCTTCCCAGCGAGGTTTGACTACTCCAGAGGAAGATAGAGGACCCTTAATGGCCATTTAAAACATTTGGAAAAATAGATTTGATTGCTAATAAAAGTTAGATTAAATCATTTATTTTTGAGTCTTCCACATTGGGTGTACTATATCTGCATGTCTTAGATCTG